GGAGAGGACTCTTGGAAGCTTGTGCCCAGGTTCCATGGGACTGCACCCTATGTTCTCTTCCCTTTGCTGATTTTGCCTTGTATCTTTTCAGTCTAATAAATATTAGCATAAGTATGGCTATATGCTGAATCCAGTGAATCCTTCTAGTTATCAGCAAACTGGAGACCCTCAACACAACTACTCGTTAACATTTTTTCCCACCTGAAGAAAGAGAAAGAGATAAAAGAGAAATGTGTAAAGTTTTAGACTGAGTTGGAGTTTTTATAAACTTTTGGTAAGGTGCTGTGAAAGGGATCAGAACATACCACCCCAAAATGTGCCACTTTGGCATACTGATTATTGTGAGCTGAAGGCACTTGAGAAACGGTAGATGCAGGAAGGGTGCTCTGACCTCTTTTTATACCTAAAGGCGGTCATATTATTTCTCATGAGGAAAAGAGCATTTTTTATCATTGGAGATTGGGAACATTTGGGTTCTACCAGGAAGAGAACATTTTTTTATCATTGGAGATTGGGAGTTGATTCCAAAACGGAATTTACCAGGAAGAGAACATTTTTTTTTATCATTGGAGATTGGGAGTTGATTCCAAAACGGATCTGTATAAAGAAACCTAAAATAACCCTGATCTTCAGTTAGTTTTCGCCATATATTTCCTAGCCACTTTTCCAGTTTCTTATCCCTCAAAGCTTATTAGATCCCTTTTCCTTTTTCTTGTCATTTTTCCATAAATTCTCTGTTAAAAAGGCTTAGAAGCTCTTGGTCCTAACCACTTTGTTTGGTCTTCATTTTCCAACAAAGGCTCCTATATGTATGTAAAAATATTAAATAAAATTTGTGTGCTTTTCTCATGTTAATCTGTCTTTCCCTTAGAAAAACCTAAAAGTTTTTTCCTCCCATATAACTGGAAGGAATTCTTGGAGAAAAAAGGACATTTCTATGTTTTTGGATGGTTCCTGTCTTTGACAGCACTTATATAATGAGAAATAAATAATAGGCTTGATTAAATGATATGAAATTTAACCACTCTGCTCTAGTGGCTGAGGTAATTTCACACAATTTAACTATAAAATGTTCTTTAGGATAGAAGAGGATCCAAGAATGTATGATAGTAGTAACAGAATTGAAAATCATCCTAATGGAATAAATAAGAAACTTGCTTTTCATTTAGCATTTCATGTAGAACATAGGAAGGTACTAATATTTAGTATATGTGCCTACCTTAAAAGTACTTATGCACAGATTAATGATGTGTTTGTTTAGTTGTGTGCTCTCTATAGATGTGTGTGTATGTGTGAAGGATTGTTATGAGGGTTCTGTAATATAATATCTTGATTGATGGTGAAATGTTTATTACGATTAGGTTATTCTGATTGGTTATTTGAGGAAGATGGATTAAAGACAATGTCAAAACAGTGGCTGAATAGGACCTGCCAAGGAATGAATATAAGAAGGAGTTCTATGACAGGTTTTACCTAAAGCCTAATACAGACAAACTGATGGGTGCAAATCAGTGGCAACAGTTTCCAGACCCAGGGCAGTTAGAGGCAGTGTTCATCCAGTTCAAATTCAAACCTGCTTTCCATCAGTAGTCAGAACCACAATTATTTACAAGTAGAACCACATCCTTTTCTATTCATTTATACTTATATACCCAATTAATGCCGTGATGTTTTCAAAGGTTCTTCTAAGTGAGTTATTGTATGTAATATGTTAATATGAAAGCCTGTAATTTTTAAAATGTGAGAATAATGATATTTATGTGCTTAAGCTCTGGCTTACATATGTTAATCATGTGCCTATTCTTGTTGTCCTGTAATTACAGAAGAATAAATAGTGCTGAACTTATTTTCTTCCTGGGTTCAAAAGCTTGCTGGGAATATTTGAAGAATTTTGCATATTTGAGTCCATTATAAATTTGAGACTATCTAACTGTGACCTTATTTCTGTTTGTTAGCTTTTAAACATTTATCTCTTTTTCATTTTCTCTTTTCCTATAGCTGTTATTTCAGACTTTCTCACTATTTAAATATACAATTCCACTTCCATTTCTGTAGTTTTTCAGCAGAGACAGCCTTTACCACCATTTTATTAGTAGGACTATCTTAATTGTTAGGAGTTGGGCATCAGATAAATTCAATTTTTTTGACATGCTAAAGTTAAGATGCCTAGGGGATTCCCAAATATAGGACATCATTATATAATTTGATATTTAAAGGTCTGGAGTTCAGAAAATCAGTTTGGCTTCTGAATTAGAAATCACATATCTTTATCTACCTACATGCTTACTTACTGAAGATATTTTATAGATAGAATGGTGCTTAATACTAGAACCTTATACTGTTATCTGTATTCAAAAGGTAAATGGTGGAAGAAACCCAGGAAAGGAGATTATTAAAGAACAGGAAGAAAAAAGAGAACTAGTGAAGAGAGAGGTATTATGAAAGTCAGGGAAGAAGAGAGACTTAAAAATCAGAAGCGGCCATTGACAGTGTCACATGCTACAAGGAAACTAGGGTAGATTTTTAAAGAGTCCATTGTATTTGGCTGTCGGTGATCTTTGAGTATCTTGATGAGAGCTATTTTAATTGTATGATGGAGTGAAACCAAATCCAATGAATGGGGAAATGAATTAGGAATAAAATTGTGGGGTACCAGGTGTAGACTGCTCTTTCCAGGAGTTTGGCTAATAAGAAGCAGAGTATAGGTTGCTGGTTAGATCATGTTGGATTGATAAAGGTTTTTGTTTGTTTCATTAAAAAAATGATTTCTGTGATTTTTCAAGTATAATTAACACACTGTGCTACAGTAGTTTCAGGTGTAGAACACGATTCAACAATTTCACACATTTATCAGCGCTCATCAAGATAAATGTACTATTAATCTCCTTTATCTGTTTCCCTCCTCATCCCTCCACCCCCTTCTTCTCTGACAACAGCTAGTTCATTCTCTGTGTTTAAGAGTCTGGTATTTTTGTCTCTTTTTTCTTTGTTCATTTGTTCTGTTTCTTAAATTCCATATATGAGTGAAATCATATAGCATTTGTGTTTCTATGACTGACTTATTTCACTTAGCATTATACCCTCTAGGTCCATCCATGTTGTTGCACATGGGAAGATTTCATTCTTTTTTATGGCTGAATAATATTCCATTGCATGTATGTGTGTATGTGTGTGTGTATCACATCTTTATTAATCTGTGAATGGACATTTGGGTTGCTTCTGTATCTTGGCTATTGTAAATAATGCTGCAGTAAACATAGAGTTGCATGTATCCCTTTGAATTAGTGTTTTCATTTTCTTTGGGTAAATGCCAGTCAAGGAGTTACTGGATCATATGATAATTCTGGTTGTAATTTTTTGAGGAACCTCCATACTGTTTCCCACAGTGGCTGCACCAGTTTGCATTCCCTCCAACAGTGCATGAAGGTTCCTTTTTTCCCACATTCTCACCAATACCTTGTAATTTCTTGTGTTTTGTATTTTAGCCATTCTGACAGTATAAAGTGATATCTCATTGTGGTTTTAATTTGCATTTCCCTGCTGATTAATGATGTTGAGCATTTCTTCGTGTGTCTGTTGGCCATCTGTATATCTTCTTTGGAAAAAGGTCTGTTCAGGTTTTCTGTCCATTTTTTAATTGGATTATTGTTTTTTGGTGTTGTGTAAATTCTTCATATATTTTGGATATTAACTCCTTTTTGGATATTTCATTTGCAAATACATTCTACCACTCGGTAGGTTGCCTTTTTGTTTTGTTGATGGTTTCCTTCAGTGTACAAAAGCTTTTTATTTTGGTGTAGGCCTAATAGTTTAATTTTGCTTTTTGTTTTCCTTGCCAAAGGAGACATATTTGGAAAAATTGTTTCTATGACCGATGTCAAAGAAATTACTGCCTATATTTTCCTTTAGGAATTTTATGGTTTCAGATCTCATACTTAGGTCTTTAATCCATTTTGAGTTTATTTTTGCCTATGGTGTAAAAAAGTGGTCCAGTTTCATTCTTTTGTATGTAGCTGTGCTGTTTTTCCAACATCATTAAAGAGACTCTTTTCCCGTTGTGTATTCCTGCCTCCTCTTTCATTGATTAATTGACCATAAAAGCGTGGGCTTATTGTTGGACTCTCTATTCTGTTCTTTTGGTCTTTGTGCCTGTTTCTGTGCCAGTGTCATACTGTTATGATTACTAAGCTTTGTTGTATATTTTGAAATCTGAGACTATGATACCTCTAGCTTTGTTCTTCTTTTTCAGATTGCTTTGACTATTTGGGATCTTTTGTGGTTCCATACAAATTTTAAGATTATTTGTTCTAGTTCTGTGAAAAATGCTTTTGGTATTTCGATAGGGATTGCATGGAAACTGTGGATTGCTTTGGGTAATATGAACATTTTAACAATAATGATTCCTCCAATTCATGAACATGGAATATCTTTCTGTTTGTGTGTATCCTCTTCAATTTGTTTCATTAAGAAAAAATTACTGTGATATTTTTTTTAAAGATGGGAATAGTAGAGAAGAATGATCCAGTAGGAAAAGAGAGGTTCAGTACAAGGAAGAGAGTACATAATTGGTGTAGTGAAGCCCTTGATAGATGTGGAAGGAAATTACAAAGATAGGCTGATTTGTCTAAGAAGGATCAATTCCTTTTCCTCAAAGCCTAGAGAGGAGGATAGACTAGTCATTGGTAAGTTTCAGAATGGTACATTAAGGAAATTTTGGGGATGTCCTGCGTAATAGCTTCAATTTTATTTCTTAAGAAGGAGCTATGTTACGGGGCGCCTGGGTGGCTCAGTCGTTAAGCGTCTGCCTTTGGCTCAGGTCATGATCCCAGGGTCCTGGGATTGAGCCCCGCATCGGGCTCCCTGCTCCGTGGGAAGCCTGCTTCTCTCTCTCTCCCACTCCCCCTGCTTGTGTTCCCTCTCTCACTGTGTCTCTCTCTGTCAAATAAATAAATAAAATCTTTAAAAAAAAAAAAAAAAAAAGAAGGAGCTATGTTACATACCAGAAGTGAGTGAACAGATGGTGGGTCTGAGGCAGGACGTTTTAGAAGGGCCACTGTTTGGGCTGGGAAGAGGCATGCAGTAGAACTTCTGGGCACTTGAGAGGTTGCCTCTCCATGTGCCATCACATCAACTGGTACTCCTGTGTGGTTTTCCTTAGAGGACTCAGTAACCTGATACAGGAAAAAGGAAATTTGTTAATTCCCTCAGAGCTGGTGGTTTTGCCATTTAAGTTCAGCTTTAAAAGGAGTTTGAAATGTGAACAAGAGAATGGTTAAAGTGAAAATTAAGGAAGTTAGGTCAAAGAACTTGGACTTAAAGCCAGCAAAAGAAATGTCAAGGCGTGGTCATCTTCCTGACAATGAAGAGCAGATGTATCAGAAGAAAAAGAGTGAGGAAACTGGGCAGATGGGTAGATAAAGCCAAAGGCTTGAGGAGTGGGGAGAAGGAGTGGGAGGAGGGATTAGTGGGGAGAAGGGAGTACTGGGACATACCTCTTGCTTGGTGGCAGTTCTGGGAAAAAAACCACTAAGATAGGACTGTGGGAGTAGGTGACAGAGAGGCATGGAGTTAGGGTCATCTGAGAATCTGGCCGCTTAGCAAAGAGTTGAAAACATGGGCTCTGGAGCCAGACAATCTGGGTCTAAATTCCATTCCCTCACATATTAGGTATGTGATCTTGGGCAAGTTCCAAGAGTTGGTTACACATCACTAAAATTAAGATAGTAATAGTGGGACTGAGTGAGGTCATTCTTATAAAGCATTTGCTCAATCCTTTGCACAACTCAAGTGCTCAGTAAACTTCAGTAGTAATAATAATTATTATTGCTAGCTCCCTCTCATTTAGATCTCAGCTCATATGTCATCTCCTAAGAGAGACCCTCCCCAGCCACACTATAGAATACAGGCCCCTTCAGGTAACTGTCCATCATTTTAGCATCTAGCATTATCTGCTATTGTAATCTAGCAGGTAGTATATCTCCCCAATTTATATTATTATTATTATTATTATTTTTTTGGTATCAAAGCCAGGTCTTAGTAACCATTCTTTAAGCTATGTGCTTAACATGTAGGAAGAGTACCCACTCTCCGAAATGTTTGTTGGAAAAAAAAACATTGGTACATCTCTGCTGATGGAGAAATCACGTGAATGCTGCTGGTTAGTAAAGTTGATTTCTAGCTTCATGGTAGAACTTTTAGATAAGGGCAAAAGGGTAAACCACTACCACTATAGTTGTCTGATTTCATTTTAGAATTTTCCACACAAACAAGTGCACAGTTCTTAATTTACTATTTTGTTTGGGTAGATAAAGGAGTGACTCATCTCTTCCAGGCTGCATTGAATTTAGCAAACTGAGCAAATGCAGACCTGTTGCTCTGAAAATGAAACTTGTTTTCAAGGCATTATTTTAATTTTTTTGCTATAATGTCAAACCATGACTTTAACCATGAAAAAAATTGTATTTAACTTTATTTGAGCCACAGTGCAGGGATAATGGAATCTGGAACTGAACATTCTGCTGAGAGAGTCAGAGGAAGTTGGTAAAGGCTTCCAGTCTTCATTTGTAGGAGCCTTACAACAATGTAGATGATACTTATTGTTTGTCCAGCTCTGGTATCATCGTAGTCCTCTGAACATGGGCTTTTCATGTTACCTTTGTCACCCACGTATTTGGAAAGTAAGGAGGCGCAGCTTATGGGATACATTATTTCTGAATTTGTTACTCCCTTCCAAAACTCTACAAGAGTGGCTTAATGTTAATGATTACAACATTTTTTTATTTGTATAAGCAGTGTCCTCTCATTTTTGAAATTCAAAATAGATCTTTACCAGTTATTTCTCAAATTAAAAATATGTATGAATCATGATGATTTAGTGCAATTTCCAAATATATGTAGACCCATTCTGGGAAACTAGATTTTAAGAGTTCAGATTTGCTTTTCTTAATTATTATGTATTCCAAATAAATTTAAGTTTGTTTAAAAATATATCCTACACTGATTTCATGTAAGCTTGAGTTAGTTCATCAACTTATAACATTAGATTTAGCTGGAAATAACCTATCTACACTTTATTGAGGGTCTTTTTTTTTTAAAGATTTTATTTATTTGTTTGACAGAGAGACAGTGAGAGAGGAAACATTAAGCGGCGGGGGGCAGGGGGTGAGAGAGGGAGAAGCAGGCTTCCCGCTGAGCAGGGAGCCTGACGCAGGACCCTGGAATCATGACCTGAGCCAAAGGCAGATGCTTAATGACTGAGCCACCCAGGTGCCCCCCCCCGCCCCCGAGAGTCTTTTAAGTGGACTTTCAAATATAGTATTATCTATACTGATGTTTCTATCATCAATGCGCATTTTTATTAGGTATTTTTATTTTATTGTAACAAAATTTTATGTGCTGCCAGAAGGTGAAATATTACGTATGACTGCTGTGATAATCTGACAATTTTTAAAACACTGACATTTTTTTCAGTTGGACAAAGCACTAGATTCTTACTAAAGTAACGCACATTGTTTTTCTCATCAAAAGACCTTCTATTTTGAAGTCTGGAATTGTGATGCCGCCAGCTTTGCTTTGCTTTTTCAACATTCCTCTGGCTATTCGGGGTCTTTTCTGGTTCCATACAAATTTTAGGATTCTTTGTTCCATTTCTTTGAAAAAAGTGGATGGTATTTTGATGGGGATTGCATTGAATGTGTAGATTGCTCTAGGTAGCATTGACATCTTCACAATATTTGTTCTTCCAATCCATGAGCATGGAACGTTTTTCCATTTCTTTGTGTCTTTCTCAATTTCTTTCATGAGTATTTTATAGTTTTCTGAGTACAGATTCTTTGCCTCTTTGGTTAGAGTTATTCCTAGGTATCTTATGATTTTGGGTGCAATTGTAAATGGGATCGACTTCTTAATTTCTCTTTCTTCTGTCTTGTTGTTGGTGTATAGGAATGCCACTGATTTCTGTGCATTGATTTTATATCTTGCCACTTTACTGAATTCCTGTATGAATTCTAGCAATTTTGGGGTGGAGTCTTTTGGGTTTTCCACATAAAGTATCATATCATCTGCAAAGAGTGAGAATTTGACTTCTTCTTTGCCAGTTTGGATGCCTTTTATTTCATTTTGTTGTCTGATTGTTGTGGCTAGGACTTCTAGTACTATGTTGAATAGCAGTAGTGATAATGGACATCCCTGCCGTGTCCCTGACCTTAGGGGGGAAGCTCTCAGTTTTTCCCCATTGAGAATGATATTCGCTGTGGGTTTTTCATAGATGGCTTTTATGATATTGAGGTATGTACCCTCTATCCCTATACTCTGTAGAGTTTTGATCAAGAAAGGATGCTGTACTTTGTCAAATGCTTTTTCTGCATCTATTGAGAGGATCATATGGTTCTTTTTCTTTCTTTTATTAATGTATTGTATCACATTGATTGATTTGCGGTTGTTGAACCAACCTTGCAGCCCAGGAATAAATCCCACTTGGTCGTGGTGAATAATCCTTTTAATGTACTGTTGGATCCTACTGGCTAGTATTTTGGTGAGAATTATTGCATCCATGTTCATCAAGGATATTGGTCTGTAATTCTCCTTTTTGATGGGGTCTTTGTCTGGTTTTGGGATCAAGGTAATGGTGGTCTCATAAAATGAGTTTGGAAGTTTGGATGGAACTGGAGGGTATTATGCTGAGTGAAATAAGTCAATCAGAGAAAGACATGTATCATATGACCTCACTGATATGAGGAATTCTTAATCTCAGGAAACAAACTGAGGGTTGCTGGAGTGGTGGGGGGTGGGAGGGATGTGGTGGCTGGGTGATAGAGATTGGGGAGGGTATGTGCTATGGTGAGTGCTGTGAATTGTGTAAGACTGTTGAATCACAGACCTGTACCTCTGAAACAAATAATACATTATATGTTAAAAAAAAAAAAAAAAAGATAGCAGGAAGGGAAAAATGAACGGGGGGAATCAGCGGGGGGAGACGAACCATGAGAGACTATGGACTCTGAGAAACAAACTGAGGGTTCTAGAGGGGAGGGGGGTGGGGGGATGGGTTAGCCTGGTGATGGGTATTAAAGAGGGCATGTACTGAATGGAGCACTGGGTGTTATACGCAAACAATCATGGAACACTGCATCAAAAACTAATGATGTAATGTATGGTGATTAACATAATATAATAGTAAAAAAAAAGACCTTCTATTTTGGTGACAGTCAATTGGAAAATATGTATTTTCCCTTTCTTGATAATGAAATAGTCTAAAAAGAGAAAATATTTCTATAAAGAATTATTCCCAACTAATGTGCCTATAAAATACATAGAAAGGGACTCATATCTTCTAGACTGACTACTAATGAAATTTGGTACAGATGATTCCCATTTCAGTGACATTAGAGATTCTTGTTTGATGCTGTTAGACATCCAATTTTGACAAGAACATGTTCCTAATATTTCTCATGCTTTATTCCCAGAATTTAACACATCAGTTGGAGCACAAGGAAAAGGAGCAACTACAGATGTTGGATCAACTTAAGGAGATCCAGAATCACTTTGAGACTTGTGAGGCCAAACATAAGCATGCCGACCTTCAGATCTCAGAGCTGACTCACCATGCTGAGGAAGCAACCAAGCAGGCTGAGCAGTACCTTCTCGAGTTCCAGCAGTCAGAGGCCCTGAGACAGGAGGCAGAGAAGAGGAGAGAAGAGTTGAAACTGAAAGCTCAGGAGTCCATCAGGCAGTGGAAGCTTAAGCATAAGAAGTTAGAGCGAGCATTGGAGAAACAGTCTGAAACTCTTGATCAACTAACAGACAAGAATAATCAGGTATAAAAGCCAAATTCCTAAGGAATGATTTTTGCTGTGACCATTCATTCATCCATCCTTCGAACAAACACTTGAGTGCCATGCTGTGCATGTACTCTATCAAGATGTCCTTGATAGAAGAGTCTTTATGTCTTGGCTATTGCAAGGTAAAAAGTAATTTAGTTTTTTATCTTTTTAAAGTCTTTTTCATAGTTTAACATTCTATGAGTTTTTAGAGTTGGCCCTTAAAAGAGATCCATCCCTCTCCCCCAGTTTAGCTTTTAGTTCCCTAAGTTGAAATTGTTCTTTAATGTTCAGTTGGAAAAAAAATCACAAAGTTTTCCATAATATCACCTGACTTTTCCCCCAGTTGCATGTATTTTAAAATCTTATTTTTAGTATATTTCAACTTAAGTAAGTGTTGGTTGCAAATGAGCATTTAAAAATGCAGTAGTTACTACTGGACCATTTTCTGGCAGCAACTATAATGGGTTTCACTGAATGAATGACGTTCACAATCTCACTGCCTGAGCAGTATTACCAGGTCACAAGCCTCTTTAAGATTCTGCTTTTGTGCCTTTTGATCGCAACAAAAAGCATTTCACTGATCCATGTATGCATTGCACATCATCTTTTCCCTTGTATAATCAGTTACTTTAAATGGATTTTATGCTCCTGTGTTGATTCTCAACTATATCTTTGGGTTGAATTAAACCTAAATGTTTATAAGATAATAAGCAGGAAAGTCAGGGTTGATTTTTATCCGTGTTTAGTCTTGGTTTATCATTTCTGCTTTGTCATTTGTCACTTGTCAAGAATTCTGAACATTCCAGAAGAATAATCATTTGGATAAGTTGACTTTCTTTCAAAGGAAAACACAATGTAGGGCAGTTACTTTTATAAAATCAATTGTCAGCACTTAAGAGTGACAGATGCTTATTTCAGATGAGCTGTCGTGGAAAAGATGCTTTACCATTTAGATATAAATTTTGTGGACATATAGAGGATGGAGGAAGCGATCACCTTGCACTCATTTTGGACTGCTTTTCAATTTAACCCATCTGACACACACTGGGTGACTAGTTGCCCTGAGGTAAAGCAGTTCTAAAGCTTTCAGACTTGAATCTGAACTGATCTGATCCCAGGAAATTGCTCTACCTTGATTATTCTGTTGTCAGTCTGGGCTGGCAACTGGTTCAATGAGCATGACAGTAGGGGAGGTAGCTAGAAAGAAGGGGGTGGGAGGGATTGATTGATTGAAACCCATCTGGGGATTTTACTTAATTAGAGGAAATTTAGAAGGGTCCATCCATGTCATCAGACAGTATCCTAATCCATGGTGCAGAGTTTTCTAGATGGAGTTTTTTAGAAAATTCAAAATTGTTAAACAATTATTTCTCAGAATGCTCCTGATATAATTATTTTTATCACTTAGCATTGCTAATGATAAGCAAAGAGTAGTTTTAAAGTGATTGCCACAGTTAGGGTAGTATCACAATTATCACAGCAGGCATTGTAATTTCCACTTTAAAAGCCTTAAAAATGAATGCGGCATGTTGCACTTAGAGCAGTGGTTAATCAAGGAAGAAAGGGTAACAGCTATTTCATTGCACATGCAAGTGTCCGGTAAATCCATGAGATGTGGAAATACATTGTAAATAATTTTGGAAACAAGCATCTATATCTTTATGTCTTACTGAATAATACCTCTAAGGAGTATTTAATTCTTAATAAAATCACAAAGCCACCCTAAGGCATTAGGAATACAGCCTACTCTTTTTTTGTTTTGTTTTTGGTTTTTGTTTTTTTGGACTAATTATTTTCAAAAAGTGACTGTAGGGCATATTTGGAAGTATATATTAAAATAAAAATAATACTAATTTCCAAATAAAACACATTATGTTTTGCAGAGTAAATTGTTTAATAAGTAGCCTTGTTGAGCCATTTTCCAGGCTCAAATGATGCAGTTTTGTGTTTTGTCTACTTCCATTTCTCTTTTTCCAGCATAACTTATTTTCTGCTTTAAGATTTGCCACTTAAAAATGTAGTAGAAGGCTAAAGAGTTGTATTCTCTTAAAAATTGCTCTGATTTACTTTTCTTCTGTTTTTTTACATTTTTGGAAGTTTGGTAAGATTATTAGATATATATCCTATTACAAAACTACTTTGTTATCAAATGATATGGATAGCATATCACCACAAATAGCATAACATTGCAGAAAAAACCCAGAAAGATTAGATTGTATACTTTCCTTGAAAGAAAATGGCATGGATGTTTACATCAGGGCATCATGATATGATGTTCTTTAGGGATATGTAGATAAACATATGATGGAAGACCTAAAATTCTGTAGATACAAATAATCTAATCATTAATTGTGATATTTTTGTCTTTATCTTTTTTATTTTTTATTTTTTTCTCTATCTTTTAAAGTGCTATTTGAAGTTATTGGTTCTTATACCTATTTTGAAAATGATAAAGGAAAAAATTTTGAACTTGGATTCTGATCACAATGTATGCTTTTCTGAATATTTCCAAAATCATAGATCTATATTTTAATATGGATGATAGGAATGCTTCTTAGGTTGTTTGTTTTTCTTGCTGAGTTGGCAGAAGAATTGATTTGCCCTGTATTGAGCTTTTTGCTTGACAATATTTGACTTCAAGAATCTTAAATTTCCATCTTTTCTTTTTTTGTATTGCCTTCATGCTGAGGAAAAAGGGAGTATATGTAATATATACTGTCTTTTAAAAGCTGAATTTTCCTGGGGCGCCTGGGTGGCTCAGTTGGTTAAGCCACTGCCTTCGGCTCAGGTCATGATCCTGGAGTCCCGGGATCGAGTCCCACATCGGGCTCCCTGCTCGGCGGGAAGTCTGCTTCTCCCTCTGACCCTCCCCCCTCTCATGTGCTTTCTCTCTCTCATTCTCTCTCTCTCTCAAATAAATAAATAAAATCTTAAAAAAAAAAAATTTTTAAAAGCTGAATTTTCCAATTTAAAGGTTGAAAAATAAGGATCAGTGCTAAAGTACATTTTAAATGTGTATATGGTTCTGTCCTATGCAATTTTAGAAAGGCTAAAGTACTGATATATTAGAATAATCCAGCAGTCCATCTGCATGTACCTTCATATGCAGAAAAATAACTTTTATTTCTTTTTAAAATTTTTTCTACCTTTTAGTTAATTAAAAAACAAAAACAAGCCCAAAAATCTGTGTGTACTTTGTGGCCAGGCTTTGAGGAGTTGGTTTCTGTTCTTATTATGGTTTTAGACAGTATCATTCTCTGGCTTCACATAGTCATTTTCAATCCTCCCTTCATTATCTTCTCTTACAGCTTTTCTTCTTTGGAAGCTGGGTTTGCTTGGTTAGAACATTCTCTTCTCATTATTCCTGACTTCTACATAATTTTCCATTACGCCTCTATATTTCTCAAGGAGTTTTGCACCTGGCTTCCCCTCAGCCTGTTAAATTACATGTAATTCTTGTCATCTTTGGTGATTACAAAGCTCAAGTCAGCAACCTTAAACTTCAGCATCCTTAAACTTCACTAATTTCCCATTTTACAGTGACCTTCAAGTCACTCAGCAGCTAATTTCTGTGGCTAAAATTTGTCCTCATCTGTAATTTCTCTATGTGAATTCAAATCTTTAGTTCCAAAATTTCAGTCTCTGATCTTACACATTTCTTTTATTTCCTTTTCCTTTTTTAACCATTACCATCTGATTTTGATCTTTCCACATTCCTCTGGTTGACCAGTCATTTCCTGGAATCCTTTTTTTTCCTGTCAGATTGGACTTTGTGAAAAGCTACTCTGATGACATGCTCACCAGCATCTTTGATTTCTCTCTTCCACCTCACACATCTAACTGATCTTCAGTCTGGAATCAACCCAACTCTTATTTTTCCCATTTCTGCTCCTGACTAGTACCAGCAAAACTTACCTAGAAACATCAGTTGGCTTCTATAGGGGTCTTGATTATCCCCATCTACTCTCTGCCCCAATCCATTCCATTCCATTCAGAAACTAATGTAGGCCAGTTACCAAGCACATAACCCTGTTCTGAGCAATGAAGAATGAGTTATGAAGTTTGTTGGGGGGAGCTTATGGTAAACATTTACTCACTCCTGAAGAAGATACATAAGAGAGATTTTTCTCCTTCTCTGGTTTTGTCGTATTCGGCTGTGATGCTTGCAGTGGCCGCAGTTGGCTGTCTTGCTATGGTCCTGAGAACGAAGTCTCTCACACAAGAAGGTATTGCCGGGAGGAGTGCCGAGAGCTGGAGCTAGAGCTTTGACACCATGTCTGGAACAGTTCTGCCTGGAATGATAATAAATTACCTTGTAGTTTAAGTCAGCTTGAATTGGAGTTTTCTCTTACTCTGAGCAGAAGATACTCAAGCTGATACGAAACATCAGTTCTCGGAGTAAGGAGCTTTAAGTAAAAGAGCCTAAAATGTAGGATTAACTAAGTAGAGAAATGAAGTGGGGACAGGAGGATCATACATTTCTAAAGGGAAAGTTGACAAACTGTGCTGTTGGAAGTAGTTAGTTGAACCATCAGAAATCCTATCTTGGGGCAGCGATGGTGTGCCTCAGAGTTTTCATACCAGTTACTTAATACTGGTATGAAAACTTTAGGATGTTGGCATGTGTTGTGATCTTACTGCAGCCTTCAGAAAAGTTCCACAAGAGAAAGACAAGTATAGGTTGAAGCCTGCCTGTCTAAAAGCAGAGAGAAATAAATAATAAAAGCAGAGCGCAAGATTTCTTGGGGGGAGGGGGCGGGTAGAGAGACTGAAAATCTGCAATCTATAATCCAAATATACGGGGTCTGATAATTTGGAGTTTTTCAGTTTTGGAATAGCCAAATGATCTGTCCTTGCTGAAGTTAGTCCAAGCAAGAGAGGGAAGTAGGAAACTTAGCTGAAATAAAAATGAGGTGAAAAACAAGCCTGATTTCTCAGGCCCCTTTCAAGTGCTTCTACTTAAGCATTCTTGGCCAGACAAAGGGGATCCAAGCCTATTGTTTTGAGTTCCCTCAAGATAAAACCTATTCGACTGAGGGCCCCTGGGAATGTCCAGGATATTGAGGTGGCAGTTAAGACACTGTCATTTTCAGACTCGGAGACAATGTCTAGACAAAATCTTGGGCTGTGGCTGCTAGCCAAGCAATTAACAAAAAGCCAATAGAACTTACTTAGTTTTTAGTATCTGTATTGCCAAAGAAATAGCAAACTTGACTAACATAGTCTGTGACTGTCCACTCTAAGGCTGCCACCTTTGTCATGAGTTGATGTGATGCTTGGAATACTGAAACCGAGGGCGAAACCTGCAGAATTGTAGAGTAGCAGTGCCTGAGTTTTGAAGGACTCTTCAAGTGCTCCATCTCTGGTGTTCCTGTTATGTCAGAAAAATAAATACCTTTGCTGTTTAAACCAACTTTAGGAAGATAATGTAGTATTTTGTAATCAAAGGTGTTTTACCTGCTAGAGCTTCATCTTGAAAATAAAATCTTTATATTCAGGGCTGCAGGGAAGTCTCTTAACTCCTGGCCAGGGGCCTATGTTATCTGTTCCAAACATCAATCACTGTCTTGAAGCTACCTCTCCTCGTTCTCAGGCCCCTCTTGCATTATCCTTACAGCCAAGACTCGATTCTGTCGGTTTCTGTCTTCTCTAGTATGGTAAGTAGAGTGACCTCCCAGAGATGACTCACCCTAATTCCTGGAGCCTGTGAACATGATGAGATCACTCTCATGGTTATGTTATATGGCAGAGTTGACCTTAAGATAAGGAGATGATCTGGGTGGGCCTGATCTAATCACAGGAATCCTTAAAAGCCTAGAAATTTTTCTGGCTGTTGCGAGAGTGGGAAGTCAGAGGATTTGAAACACAGGAAAGATTCATTGTGGTGTTACTGGCTTCAGAATCTGAGGGGTCCATGAGCCAAGGAGTGTGGGTGGCCTTAGAAGCTCAGAGCAAACCCTGGCCCAAAGCTAGCTAGGAAATAGACACCAGAGTGTTAAGAAGCGCATGGAACTAAATTTTGCCAATGACATGGATGAACTTGGAAGTGGATTCTCCCCCTAAAGCCTCCAAGTAAGAGCACAGGCCAGCTGATGCCTTGACTTTAGTCTTAGGAAACTCTGGGCACAATACCTCTCCTGGACTTGGGATCTGTGGAAACAGGGTAACAATAAATGGTATTGTTTTAAGTCATTAAGTTTGTTGGAATTTGTTACACTGCAGTAGAAAAATAATACATCTACCCTTAGACTTACCTATATTTCTAGCCATTTTTCCTGTCTTTCAAAGTAAACTCTATCCTCTGTGGTCCTTAGTCTTTTCAGTCCAGGGACATTGCTTTATCAGTTATACCTGCTCTTCAAAGATCTGATTACTGTCTTACACGAATGCCTCCCTGGGATCCTGGCTTCTCCTTGAACTTGATCCTCTGCCAATTTTTTTTTTTTCCTCTTTCCCACTAGTCTTCATCACAACCCTATGATACAGGTGCCATTATTATCTTTATAAAGATAAATAATTTCCTTGAGGCCCTAGGGTGACTTATGACTGGACTGAGAATCACATTCAGTTTTCTGTGGTCAGAGCTCAATTGCTTAACCACCTCCTTTTATTATTTCTCATGCTGGCTTCATGCTGTTTTTCCCTGCTAAAACTGACAGGGTTTTGAGGAAATGGTTTCTTTGGAGTGATTGACTCATTGTAGTTTATCTTGAATTGTTTCATACTAAGTATAAAATATAAAGTGTAAAACTGCCTTGTAAGTATTTGCATTTTTACTCGTTATTTCTAATTCTGAAATGAGAATCTTAATTTTCTTTTTTCCGGGTTCAAGCCATGGCAGGCATCCGTAAGCAGAGATGGAGATTGTTCTTGGTGCCAGTGTTGGGGGGAAAGGGGGTGATTCCAGCTTCCTTAGCTGCTGGCTTTTTCATTGCATTGGGAGGTGGTGCGGATGAGAGGGGTAGTTCTGGGCCTCCATCCATCCCTCAGTGTCCACCTTCACCCTGCAGAGAGTCTGGCAAAGGGTGATGGACGTCTGGTCCCTTGACTTTTCTCTTGTGTCCCTTTCCCACCTATCCTAATCTTAATCTCATTTATATCTTTATGGGGTTTCGAGACTCCCAGTTACATACTGGTGTATTTCCTGTCCCTACCGACTCTATTAATAATGATTGATTGTACCAAAACCTTTCTTAGATTGTATCTGCATGCTTCCGTATATTGTCTTCCTTCTCTATTTTGAGGTTTCTCCTTTTTAAAAGTGTGCAATTGAAATGCAAAGAACTGTTATTTTAAGTAACATATTGTTTCAACCTCTGGTAAACTATAATAGGAATCTTTTTCTTTCCCCCTTCTTTTGCTAAATTTTATCCTACATTTAAATAATTATTTATAATCAAGGATTGATATGTGTTGGTGATGAAAATCTGCAACATATTGTTTCAGTGTGGTGCTACATCAGGGTAATTGTATTTTTCTTTTTCTAGCCTAAAAGCTATTTTTCATTAAAAAATGGAAAAAATACAAAATACTATTTTATGGATCTTTCTTCTCCTGTGTATTAAACTTTATTTTCTGACAGTCTCTATGATGGATTTTATAGTTTTGTTTTTTTTTAACCTGGTAGATTCTAAAAGAAAAGGATGAACTGAAAAGCCAGCTTTATACAGCATTACAACAAATAGAGAATCTTCGAAAGGAATTGAACGATGTCTTAACCAAGCGTGCCCTTCAAGAGGAGGAGCTTCACCGTAAGGAGCAGAAACTAAGTGATGTTAAGGCTCATCAAGCTGACCTTGAACTAGAAATCAAGGATTCCCTGGACACTATCCAAAGGCTAGAAAGTGAATTGAAGCATCAGAGTAAGATTCAAAGCCAGATGAAAGTTGAGAAAGCTCACCTGGAAGAAGAAATCACAGAGCTAAAAAAGAGCCAGGCCAGGGACAAAGCCCAACTTCTCGAGATGCAAGAGGCCATCAAGAACTTGAGTGCCATCCGGGCAGATCTCGCTAATAAATTAGCCGAGGAACAGAGAGCCAGGAAGGAGGTGCTTAAGAACCTTGCTGACCTAAAGACACAGGTGAAATCCAGAGATGAAGAAACAGATACAATCATTACACAGTTAAAGCTAGAACGAGACGTTCACCAGAGGGAGCTGGAAGATCTCACATCGTCATTGCAGAGTGTGAAAACGAAACACGAACAGAACATCCAGGAGCTGATGAAGCACTTCAAGAAAGAAAAGAGTGAGGCTGAGAATCATATTAGGACACTGAAGGTACCTGCGCTGAATTATCCTGATGATACTGAAGGAATTTTTCTGGTGGCTCATGAAGTTAATAAAGCGTAAACTTTCAGAGATCATTCTGTATTCCTAAGCACTGAAGGGAAGATAAAACTAACAGTAAAGAGGCTTATTCATGCCTGTTCAGCCAGGTTGAAATGAGTTCTAGCAGCCACCTGGGAGCACCTATTTCAGAGCACTGAAGCTCTTTAAAAAGAATGTTTAGCTATTTTGGGAGTTCAGGAAAGGCAGAGGTGGCAATAAGTCGTGGACCTGAAACGTGCCCTCATTCAACATTTGTGGCCTCCTAAAATATAAAAGGCAAAGACTTGTTAAGGCCATAGAAGTCATAACCACAGTCCTTTATTAATGGTAACTAAAGTGGATCAGCTTATGAGCTGTGTAAACCCAAGGGTTTTGAGATTTACCCTTTCTTTTCCAAATCAAAGTTGGCCTGGGTAAATGCATAACTGAGATCTTGCATTTGGGGAAATGTTTCTAGGGTCTAATGGTATTAGCCTTATCCCCATGCAGGGGAATTATTTTATAACATGATTGTCAGGAGTGTGATAAATCTGTCCCTCCTTCCTGCTTTAGTTTTTTTCTGTATTACTTATCATCATGTGATATAGATTCCATATTATTTATTTTTTAGTCTCCCTTTATTAGAATGAAAACTCCATGAGGACTGGGATTTGAGTCTGTTTTGTTTACACCTATATCTCCAGTACCTAGAACAGTTCCTGGAACACTGTAGATATCCACTGAATAGGTGAATAAGTAGATAAGTCTTCAAGGGTTAATTATAATTTTTTTTCAAATTCCTTGAAATACAACTACCATAAAAATGCTTCTGGTGAAAGATGAAATTATAATGAAATAGCTGACATTTGTAGAATGCTTTCAGCTTTTTATGAATTCTCCCCCAGTTGCATATAGTCTACTGGCAATAGTGGATTTGGGGTTATTAATTGGGGTGCACAGAGCAGAATGGAGACTGGGGAAATAGGTAGGAGGGCCTTACTATATTTCATTCAACCTAAGATACCATCAGTTATAAGGTTCATCATATGTGCTATTAAGAAAAAAAAAAATACTTCTGAAACTTAACATACTCTCAATGCAAGACAATATCCCAAGACAGAGGTGGTAAAATGTGGAAAAATATGTCTTAATATTGATGAAATATGGCATAATAGTCTGTCAGAGTTGATGAGGACATAAACAAAAGTAGAATCAGAGATATGGAGAAGAGCTAATCTTAAAATATATGTCACATGTTGATTGATTGGCTGTGACAATAATAATAATACTAGCAGACATTTTTTTTTTCCCGGCACTTAGTTCATGCCAGTCATTACTGTAAGAACTTTACATGCGTTAACCATTTAATCCTCACATCATCCCTGCAGATTGTTTGGTATTTCTTCTCTAATGAGGAAATTGAGGCGTGGAAAGTTAACTGTCCAAGGTCTTAGAGCTGGAAAGTAGCAGAGACAGGGTTTGAACCTAGGTAGTCAAGTGCCTGTGTTCTTAACTACACTGCTATAAGTCGAAAAGATTTAGAATCGGGGCACCTGGGTGGCTCAGTCGTTAAGCAGCTGCCTTTGGCTCGGGTCGTGATCCCAGGGTCCTGGGATCGAGCCCCGCATCAGGCTCCCTGCTCGGCGGGAAGCCTGCTTCTCCCTCTCCCACTCCCCCTGCTTGTGTTCCCTCTCTCGCTGTGTGTGTCTCTCTCAAATAAATAAATAAAATCTTCAAAAAAAAAGGTTTAGAATCAAGGATGACTAGGCACAGACTTGGGTGACAAGATGGATGATGAGACTGTCAAGGTAGATAATGCAGAAAGAGAGATTTGGAGAGAGGAGTCGCAAATCCAGTTTTTGTTTGTTTGTTTTTTAGCATGTTGAGTTAGGTAGAAAGGAACGGAAGCCTAACCATGAAAGACCTAGGCAGAACAGTTTTTAGTACCTAATGGGTTAGACATTGAGGACGAAAGTGAGATTAAAGTTGGAATATTTGGGATCCAGTGACCCATTGGTGGTAGTTGAAATCATGGGATTTTAATGAGATCATATAGGGAGAAAGAAGAGGATGAAATTCTAGAACACCAATGTTTAAGGGAGGTACTGAGAAAAAGGTTCTAGCAGGTAAGAATAAAGGACTATATGAGAGACAGGAGGGAACCAGAAAAGAATGGTGTCTTGGAAACCTAGGCAGGGCATTTCAAGAAAGGTATAGTCAAGAGTGTTGAAAGTGTGGGGCGCCTGGGTGGCTCACTTGGTTAAGTGTCTGCCTTCAGCTCAGGTCATGATCCCAGGGTCCTGGGATTGAGTCCCGCATCAGGCTCCTTGCTCAGCGGGGAGCCCACTTCTCCCTCTGCCAGCCACTCCCCCTGCTGGTGCGCTCTCTCTCTCTGACAAATAAATAAATAAAATCTTTTTTTTTTTTAAAAAAGAGTGTCAAATGTGGCAGGTTAAAAGAAGAACTAAAAACGTGTTCATTCCATTTGTCAGAGATGGCTAGGGAAGGTCCATGAGGAAATGTGAGGGGGTTGGATCAAAACAGAGTGGATAATATTCAACAGGAGACAGGGCAGTTTCCCCCATCCTTTCTTTAGGAAGTGCTTTGTATTCATGTGTAGTGAAATGACAGTAAAGCTTTGAGAAATTACCTGTGTGTAAAGAGTATATAACTTAGAAGTACTCTGTAGATATTTTGAAATTTTTAGGCATTTTTTTTTTTTTTAATTTGGAAGACAGAAATAGAGGAAGGGTATTTCAGCCACTCTTTAATACGGTACAAAAGCAGCATAAGAGCTTAAAAGGAGAACCAGAGATTGTGAGCACTTTCATTGTAAACTGAATGAGTTGCCCATAAGGAAAAAACCCCTACCTCTTGCTATTTCACTAACATAATCCTATACTTTTTACTTATTTATATCAGTTAGAAGGAGTTGATAATGTCATCACAGATGACTTAGTGTATTGAATTATGTACAAGAGGACTTTGGACAAATAGCTCTATAAATGTTCTATTTCTTTGTCTTTTGGCTTCACCCTTATTTTTTGGGTCTAATAAATGCTGATGCGTTAGCCATATTTTTTTCTCTGCACGAATTATGTTTTCTCCATCTAGGACTACTTAGGCCTATTTTTAAATTTAAATGTAAAATATTTTAATGAAATACTCTAGCTACTATTAATATTTGAAGGATATTGGGTTATTACCTCATGATGATTTCAACAGAAATCATTTGGTAGAGCCTTTCTTTGGGGGGTGGGGATCAAAAGACCAAGGATTTGAGCTCTGTACTTTTTCTAATTGCTAGCTATATGATCTTGGTCAAGTTACTAAACCTTTCCCCCCCTCATCAATAAAATGGGACTAGTAATGTCTTTATCACAGGGTTTTGAGAGTACAGCATCACTTTGTAAACCTTAGAGTGAAATGTAAATGTACTAAAATCACAAGAAGTAAGTTAAGTCAAATTTAGGCATTGGCATGTGGGTAAATGTTTTTAAAAAGCCTCTGGGGGGGGAGGGGGAGTCAAGGAGGAAACCCTGATTTGTAGCATTTGCCCAGTTTAGTGTTGGATATATACCGCATTTGACTATCACAGAAGACATCACCCGAGAGGGACAGTGTTGGGAAGAGCGAAGCACAGCTGCCTCTTAAGGCTCCCTGAGCCAGCTTCAGTTCTCCACAGGCCTTATGGGGAACCTTCTATACCCAAGAGTTGCATTAGCCATGAAGAAAAGGCAAAGCATTCTATTGAAACTAAAATCATAATTGAGCAATTTTCCTGATAAGAGACTTTATTTTGTAATTTTGTTTTGGGTTGTGAAAACAGGATTCCTTATTAAAAATCAATTCCTTTGTTAATTTAAAATGGTATCCAGTCTTAGGTGAATTTTGTGAGGTGAATATAATACAGATTTTGTCTAAAGCTGACAAAACTTTCTCTCAGGAAATTGATTCCTGTGATTGAATTCCTATATACCTGATTGCACACATAAAATATACTTGTAAAAAGGAACATGTATTTTAGAAATTAAAACATGTGTTTTAAACAGATCATAGGTAGTTGCTTACAAGCTGTTAGTAACTGGTAGGTGTGACCAGTTAACATTGCTAAGTTGTACCCAGCTGGTTTTTAAAAATGATAAATGTACCTTCCTAAAGGCAGTGTGGCGGAATAGTTGAAAGCCTTGCACATTAGAATTCCTGGGTTCAAATCCTGGCTCTGCAGTTTCTTATTACATATCCTGGGGCAAGGTTATTAGTGTCTCTGGGCTTCAGCTTCAAAAAAGGAGGCAGTAGTAATAGTACCTCCCTGGTCAGGTTGTTGTGAGAAATGAGGAAGAACTATGCAAAGAGGTCTGAGAGCAGTGCCTGACATATAGGAAGTGTTTGCATCATTGTTATTTTAAAAGTTTTAAAATTCACATACTTGGCCAATCTTTATTGTACACGGAATAGATTATTCCTAATTTTTTCTTAAAGTTGATTCTGGTTATATTCGAAAAAAAGATAAAAAACCAGGTACTTTATTAATTACACTGTTGGCACTGAAATAATAATCACTGATCAACTCCTTTTCAAGTTAAGTTACTTGTAGTTTCTTGGCTGCTACAATTCAGGGTGGGATCAGTAATTTTGCTGTACTGAAAGCACACAGTTCTTTCACAAAACCCAGGAGAGAGGTTGAACAGGAATGTTGTAAAGCTCCTTTTATAGAGGAGGAAACTGATCAGTCAGTACTGGGTCATAGTATTTCCCTTTTGGGACACCTCTCACAACTCCTTTCCCTCTCAGCAGAGTTGGGGTGCCAGCTTGGGGTTGGCACAGTATTTGCTTCTGCCTTCGTTAAGCACTTATCATTCATTGTTGTAGAATTGATAGGTGCATCTGGCAATTTACTGTTCATATTCGCTATCTCAGCACCCAGTACAGTACCTTTCACTGAGTAAGTGCTCAGTGAGCACTAAGGAGTGATTGAATAAATGCAAGGGGCATTTCCTTTCCTTTGTATGTTCTGTACAGACGCTTAGAGCAAAATCTTGAAGTTTTTGCCCACTGATAAAATGTGTAATTTGTTTGGTGTACAATTTAGCTGTGGCCAGTGGACTTTTTCTTTTCTCCTCTTTTTCTCAGGCAGAAAGTATAGAAGATAAGAATACGGCTAAAGTCCATCGTTGTCAGCTAGAGAAGGTGAAATCACAGTGTGACAGGCTGACAGAGGAATTAACCCAGAATGAAAATGAGAACAGAAAACTGAAGCTAAAATATCAGGCTTTGAAGGACCAGCTAGAAGAAAAGGTAAAAATACGAATGAATTCTAATTTTACTTACTCAGATTTCTTCTAGTATTTCTTCTGGAATATATTTTATGTGATTTTTTTTTAAAGAGAGAGTGTGCCTGCAAGTGGGGGGAGGGGAGGGGCAGAGGGAGAGGAAGAGAGAGAAAGAGAATCTTAAGCAGCCTCCACGCTCATTACGGAGCCTGACGTGGGTGGGGCTCAATCTCAGGACTCTGAGATCATGACCTGAGCCGAAATCAAGAATTGGTCACTTAACTAACTGAGCCACCCAGGTGCCCCCATTTTATGTATTAATAAATGCTAATTGTAGTCTTTCATAGGAAAGTTATATTGGTGCCACAAAAAGAATGATAGAATAAAAATCCAGCATTCTAATAAACTTTCAACCAACTATTAACCATCTACTACATTTGATTTTTAAATTTCTTCTGGATCTTAAAATAGGAGTTTAGAGGCAAGGGTAGCAAAGAAAGGAATTCTGGTTTATTGAGGACCTGCTATATGTCAGGCATTTATGCCAATTGATTTACATGTGTGTGCTTACTCAGTTCTCACAGCTCTTTGGGTTAGATTTTATTGATCCCTTTTAACCTATGAGGAAACTGAGGCTCAAAATAAAACCTGTAATAGTTAAGTGCTCACTATGTGCGAGGCACTTTTAATGCTCATGGAAGTTTTATGAAATCGATACTATTATGCTCATTTTTTCGGTTTCAGAGACTGAAGCTTAAGAAGGTTGGTAACCTTGGAACATCCCTAGCAGGCTTACTGCTTTCCTTTCAGTAGATGTGTGAATTTATTTTGAGTATCTGCTATATATATCAGGCATTGGGTAGAATACTAGGGACTTTGAGAGTCACTACTTCTGTGGCAAAAGTCAACTAGGAATAGAAGACAGAGTATTTTTCTTCCACCAACTTCCAAAAAGGATTGGTAGTTGGGTATTATAGAAGTCAAATGTAAAGATGACCATTGAAGTACTTACTGATAGTAGAATAAGACAACATAGACAGGGTCAAATGAGTCCCGTACTTGATAAGGTTACATGTATGAGGAAGGTGCCACCACTGGGTGGGGTATCATAAAATGCTTCACACACCTCTAGGAAGAAACTTCCTTAACCACTTTACTAATCTTTTCCTCTTTATGTTTTCTGCAAAATTCACTATACTTTATAGGTATATTTTTTTACCTTTCTAGTAATTGTTAAAATCAAGGAAATAAGATACAGGTTTGGTGTTTATGATTGAATGTGCTAAATTAAGTTGCTAAATTTAGGCCTACAATCTTGACAACTGCTGCAATTTAGTTCTTATGTCATGCTTTGTTTTGAGTGTGTCCAGTGTTCACACATATTTACTGTATCTGTTGCCAGGGTGTAGTTGCTGTGGAGATAATGCTAAATTTCCCAACTTTTTCATAATTAAAATTCTAGCCAGAAGATTGTGTTAACGTGTTTTATACTTACACATTTGCATTTAAGAAATAGTGGTGAAAATTTCTTATGTTGGGATGTAAGTTTACCTTGCTCTGCTTAAAATAAATGTTTCTTCACTGATTCTATCTGTGATGTTCTAGATATATATGTGTTAACACACGTTCATATAAATGGAACATTCACCTTACGACAGAGTTTCAAGAGTTAATGATTGTATTCCATAGCTATGTATTGAGCATCCAGGATGTGGCAGGCCTTGTTCTGGGAGCTGAGGGTTGGATATAGATAAGACACGGGTCTGCAACTGAATGCTTGTAGACAGATCATGAAAAACAAAATCGCTTTCAGTTGTTAAAACTGTATAGTCAAGTCTTGACAGTGTGTGCTAATGCAGAGAAAAGATGTCTCTGGAGTCTAACTTGTGAGTAATCTTAAAGATATAATAATCTTAAACACACAAATGTAAATATATATGTATAGCTTCTATGCTTGCTTTTCTTTTAGAAATATTTTTTGTATACATGATTATTACATACTTTGGATTCACTTAGCTGTTTGTGTTGACCTGTGCCATAGTATATGGTTACATATGAATCAAAATTTTGTTGGGTCCCGCCATCTATAGATAGGGCTCTGCTCTCTGAGAGGCGGCATATCATTAGTGGGTATGGGCAGAACGTTGAGTGTAAATCATTTTCTAGCTGTATGGCTTTAAACATATTGCTTAAAACTCAAAGCCTCAGTTTTATCATCTTTAAAAAGGTATGATGAGGGTGCCTGGGTGGCTCAGTTGGTTAAGCGACTGCCTTCGGCTCAGGTCATGATCCTGGAGTCCCAGGATCGAGTCCCGCATCGGGCTCCCTGCTCGGCAGGGAGTCTGCTTCTCCCTCTGACCCTCCTCCCTCTCATGCTCTCTGTCTCTCATTCTCTCTCTCTCAAATAAATAAATAAATAAATCTTTAAAAAAAAATAAAAAGGTATGATGATACCTCTACTATAGAATTAAATGTGAAAAAATATATAAAGTGCCTGGCAGAGTAACTGATATCTAATAAGCTATCAATTAGTAAATGCCATTATTTTGTTATTGTTGTGTTTCCAAATAAATGCTGCTCGTGGTTCAACCAAGCAGTCAACCAGTCAGCAAGTATTGATTGACTGCCTGTGGTCCATCTAATAATGTTAGGTAGTGAAGGGCCAGGGACCTGGGAGTAGGAATTATTGCCGAACTATGCAGATTGGAAGTTTAGAACCAGACTGCGTTGAATCACTTGAGACAGATGGCCCACAAAGGAGGCTCCCTTGTGAAAAGAGCTGGCAGTTCTATTAGCAAGTGATATTGAAGGCATGTGTGTTAAGCAAACCAAACAAATGGGCAGTTTTATAATTATGTTTTCTATTTGAGGGCAGGAACCCAATCTTGATTGTTTTTCCATCTCCAAGATCAGGCACAGAGCCAGATACACAGTAGGTAATTTGTAAGTGAATTGTGGATAAAGAGGAGTGTGTGTGTATGCATACATACATGCTTGCACATACGTGTAATATGTAGATAAAATATGGGTAACCTATGAGTATATGTACATTCATTTTGTGTGTGTGTTGGGGGGACAGCAGACTGCAGAAAATAAAAACAAGAAAACAAGACGAAGATATATTTTCAGTGGAAAAAAAAAAAAGTCCCATGACTTATAGCCCAAAGATTACTATGTAAGCAATGCGTTGAACTTGATAAATGGGCCTTAGGGCTTGAAGGGGTTTCAAATGTGATTCTGCTATAATCAAAAGGGATGCCTTTCTTGTTTACCTAACATAGCATTATTCTCGCATGCCCGTCTTAGTGGCCGAAGTGGCACTTCCCCTCTTTTTTAAATGTCTTGCTACTATTTTGACCGCTTACTTTAGGTCTTTGTTTCTTGTCATGTTATTACTTTGTAAGCTAAGAAATGTTAAAATTGCATCACAATTCATGTAAAGCCATTAACATCAGCAGCCTGAATCAGCAGTAGAAGATAGCTGTTAGGATATATGTACAGAATAACTAACTTTGGCATATTTTCCTCATGTATTCAGTGGTGATATGTGGTAATAAAATGCATTTTTTCCAACATCTGATTTTGCTTTAACATCGAATGTTATTTTTTCAATTTTACATGACATAGAGAACAAGTATTGTGCAACCCACAGAATTTGTATGCATTTAAAACTTTATTATGAACTTCGTACTGGGGAAAAAGCTCTCATGAAATGTTAGGTAGAACTTTGTAGTGTCGTTGAAATTTATTATTCCTTTTGCTTAAAATTTTAAAGGAAAATATTTGATTTCTTCTTTTGTTCTAAAAGGATCTTATTAATATTAATCTTTTTATTCTCTGGCATTTACCTGGAAACTCATAATGCTGTTTGTTTTATCAGAAATATATTTTTATTGGTTTCACTGGAATCTGAATCATCAAAAGAGTTAGCATATAATTAAGCCATTTTTGCTCAGCAAGTCAACATCAAAGTTTACATAGTGAAGATTTTAAATGTCTTCTTTATACAGACCTGTATCTGATCCAACTTAAAAAATTTTTGTTAAAGTAGGTATGAGTTTACTAATGATACTGGCCATCTTTGGGGAGCTTTCCAAGTAATTTTGTAGTGTATTAAACATTGTTTTTAATTTTGAACACGTTTACATGATGTTTTAGACATAAATATGGTGTCTGAAACTAAGAGAATATTATTTTGTAGATTGTTCTGTTTATACTGTGTCTATTCTCTTGAACCTTATGTTTTGGAAGTATGGCTGTTTTATGAAAAAATATATACAATATTTTGTTCAGGTATTTTTATAAGCAGTGAGAAAAATGGCATGAAAAATGATAGTAATGTTCTGAGATTGTTTTCCTATGTCCAATGTAGACATAATACATTAATTTTCAGATATTAGAGAAAGAGTAATTTTATTGATTACATTCATTTTTATAAATTCTGAAATTGTTTAGAAAATTATTTTGTTCTTTAAGAGGGAACTTTAAAAATTATAAAACAGATTTTCAGTTTGGATAATGCAGGGTACTTTATAGGGAAGGTTTAAAAACTCACCTGTGACCTTACCACCTAACTCTCTTGCATTCGAGTTCTGGTGGAATTCTTTTTGGGGTTCTTTTCTACACACACAGATACACAGATCCCATTTGGGATCATTCGCCATGCACAGCTTTGTGTTCTGAATTTGCCTGTGTCCTTGAACATTTTTCAAAGTCAAGTTTATTTGACACCCAATATTTTATCTGGTGAATGTGGCATTCTCTTGTTGATTACATTACTGTGTCTTTTCTATTTTAAAATTATAGATCAAGTAATTTCTCTCCTGTATGATCTAGTACTTTCCATATTTGGAGCTTTCATTTGTATTTGTTACTGATTTATGCAAACAGGCTTCTTGCTACTAGATACCCAAATCTGGAGGAAGCCAGAGGTATCCACTCTCCTCATTTTGCTTTTCTCCTTTAATCCACCCATAATCACAACCATATGTAGAACTCCCCCCGTTATGAGAGATGCTGTCACAT